CTCCAGAGTTTTTGAAAATAGGGATAACAGATGCTGCTTTCTAACAGGCTGGAAAACAAAACTCACATAAGCACTTTTAAAGAGTTTTAAAAGTATAGACAACAGCTGTAGAGAACACTTCAGCAAGATTATAACAGGTATGTTGTCCAGACAAACTGTAGAAGAGTCAAAGCAGGAAATCACTTCAGATACAGAAGCTGGAGTGATAAGAATGTCAAGCAATGGATCAACCTATTTGTTGGCTATATCAGATAGAACCCAACTAGTGGAATCAAGAAATAAAGTTGATAAAAAGTTCTTAACAAACAATTCAGCTTTGCCTTTAGGTGAGGAGACAAAATCTCAACAATAGATTTGCTCTCATTATAGATACTGTTAAAAAAATTACAGAAGTCACAAGAGCCTAATTTAGATGAAATACGAGATTTCGTGATCTGGTAATAGTGAGTTTGGTGTTAGACAAAACGTGTTTACAATGGTTTTTAGCAATATTAAACAGACGTAAAATAGTAAATTGTTTTGCTGATAGATATGGAAGTAATGGTTTTGACTGGAAATTGCAGCAGCAAAAAACGAGGGAAACCATGGAGAAGAGTGAGGCTTGACTTGGAATTATCGAGAGGGAATAAAAGATTCCGTACCAGCCCAAATCCACGAAGTTATGTAAGAAGCACATTTGTCAGCAGTAAAAGACAAAAGATTTATACTTATGGACCATTACTAAGAAAATCACGGAAAGAGTCCCAGTCAACTTTAAGGTAGTTGTAAGAGTTACAATAATAGGGAGATTTTGATGATAAAGAAGAATGAGATAATAGTTTTAGAAAGATTAAATAGTGATCAGAAGCACCTAAGAGTGAATGTGGAGAAACTGAGCATTAACTAGGATCAGAAACAAGACATAAGTAGAATAGAGAAGGTAAATGACTCGGGTTGTCTGGAAAGCGAGTAGGAAAGTCACTATTTGAGTTAGAGATGGAGAAAGGCAAAAGTTGTGAGCCTTAAAGCCTGCAGAGTCAATGACACTAGAGCCAAGCTATTTAGAGTAATGAGCATTAAAGTCACCAACCCAACAATATTGGCTGAAGGATAAGGAGAGAGGGCCAGGTCAATTGATCAAAAATAACATTGAAAAGAGTGTAGTCTTGAGATAAAGAAGATATAAAGCAAAGAGAAATGCGATAGAGTGAAGAAGCGCTATGTCAAAGCACATAAAAGAATAGTCCGTTGATTCAAACCTAGTTTCCCAACAAATGGGTGAATTTTTGCGAATGTAAAAGTTCATGCTTAGGCCAAGCGTGGGGCTATTAAAGTTTTTACGAATTAAAAGAAGATAACACTGGTTAACAGATAGAATCTGTTTACACCTTCTGTCTTTGTCTAAAAGGCCTTCTACAAGACAGTAGCCGAATGCGTTTAACATCTGCCAAAGATGAGTATTTTTATCAAGACACCACCTTTAGTCTTTACTTAACCAAGAGGTTGAGTAAAGAGGAGGTGTTTTGAGACGGAGTTGGCTTCTTCTAGCCTCTGCCTAAAAAATCCTACAAGACAGCAGGACATGAAGCAGGTTGTACTGGGTTACATATTACCAGTAGCAGGATGATATTATTTATTAAAATATATATACCGTTGCGCTTTCACTTGCCTGAAAACAAAAAAACAAAACTTTCGCCTAATGAATAAAATTCCTTGTAAACATTATAACACCTAACACTTTTTTGTTATAGCCATTGAAACTTGTGTAACGAAAGGAACCGATCGTTCCTTCCGTGACACAAGTTTTTAATGCCTATAACTAAAAATTTAGAATTTTACTAACAAACTCTTTTCTCAAAATTAAATAGATATTTATAAGGTTGTTTGTTAGGTTTTTTTTCCACCTTCTAAACGTTTTTATTATTTTTTTAAATTTCCAATTTAGTTTACAAAGGTCATTCCTTTTGAAAAACACGACTTTTCAATCCTGACCATCCATAAATTATTTTTTTTTAATTATAAAAAAATAAACTTTATAAGACTGTTCAAATGAGACCTAGATGAAAACTATGTATACTTTAGAAACGTATATATTTTGTCTTACATCTGAAGTGTTTTAATTATATGTAGAAAACAAAGATTTGAATGTCCATTCATAAATAATCTTTAGTGCTCACTTCATCCAATAGTTGTGAACAGTAAAGAAAATCAAGTGTTGCATTCCACTTCATGTTGCATTGTATCAGATAATAACAACCATGATGTAGCAATGATTTACGAGGTACAAAAATCAATTATCAATAATCTAAAGCAAAAGAAACCCAGCATTGTAAACGTGAACTACTTTTCCAATGGCTCTTCATCTCAATGCAAAAATTATTTTAATCTATATCAGCATTAATCAGATTTTGAAATAGAAGCAAAATGTGTTCATGACCAGTTATGGAAGTCAAATTTGAGATGGTATAGGAGAAACAGCAAAACGACTTGTAGCTAATGCTAGTTTGCAGAGAATTTTTACAAATCAAAATGTAAATGACAAAATGTTAACAAAAAATTACTATATTTTGTTATGTTTTACAGTTCAAAGAAAAACAAAGGAATATTTGAAGTTCACTAATTTGTTTAAAGATTTGTTAATTCTTAAAAATACAGAATTCAAAGAATTAATAATGTGTTTAAATTTTTTGAATTGAACTTATTTATGAACATGCATGCTATAGATGTTACACTTAAGTGAAAATAAATCTTAAGTCTATGCTATAGATGTTACACTTAAGTGAAAATAAATCTTAAGTCTATGCTATAGATGTTACACTTAAGTGAAAATAAATCTTAAGTCTATGCTATAGATGTTACACTTAAGTGAAAATAAATCTTAAGTCTATGCTATAGATGTTACACTTAAGTGAAAATAAATCTTAAGTCTATGCTATAGATGTTACACTTAAGTGAAAATAAATCTTAAGTCTATGCTATAGATGTTACACTTAAGTGAAAATAAATCTTAAGTCTATGCTATAGATGTTACACTTAAGTGAAAATAAATCTTAAGTCTATGCTATAGATGTTACACTTAAGTGAAAATAAATCTTAAGTCTATGCTATAGATGTTACACTTAAGTGAAAATTTATTTTTTGACAGGTTCTGAGTAAAAAGAGCTGTTTTTAATAAAATAAGTTTAATAAAAATGTTTAATAAACATAAAAATGAGTTTAATAAATATGTATATTGTAGTTATACTCATAAGTGAGAATAACTCTTACTGTCTGGTTGTGCCTAAACATAAATACCTATCTTCTGTCTCAATCTAAATATTCTTTCAATCAAAAAAAAAATTAGCATGATTATTAAAGATTTTTTAAATTAGTAAGTCAACAAACAACTCAGTTTTTGTTATTTTTTTCAGATGTTTGTATATAATTTAAAAATATGAAGTTTGGAAATAAATAGATCGTTACCTTTTCTGTAATTCTTTTTAAGGTAAACATGTTTACTTTTAATTTATTAATCCTTTTATTTAACCACAAAATATGAAATTTACAATAATGTTTTATAAACTCACATAAAAAAATAAAAAAAACTATAAATAAAACAAATATATAAACAAACAAAATTTATATAAACAAAATATATATAAACAAAGGAAAATAAAGCACTAATAAATAAAGATAATATTATTAAATAATAATATTATAATAAAAATAACTATAATAATATAATAAAAATAATAATATTATTATTAATAATAAGAATAAAAAAACATTACAAATAGTAACCATAACATGATAAAATTATAACTAATAATAAAAACTTTGGTAAAAATAAAGTTTATAACTATGACAGAATTATTAAAATAAACATTAGCAAAAATTAGGACAATAACCATAGAACTATTACTACAATTTAATCACTGTCACTATCATTATAAATAATATTAATAAGATTTATAAAACAAAGGTAAATTAATGATAATAGTAATATTAGTAGTAGAATAGAAATTTCCTAATTTGGTTTCGATTGAGAAGAAGAATGTTGGTAGCAAAAGGATATTTAGTTAAAATCTTTTTTTTATAAATGGTATTATTTGGTTCCAGTGAGAAACACATTGATGCTTTATAGAGAGCTTGGGGACTGTCCATTAATTACGTCAACAAATTTTTTGAAAGTTTTTCCTCCCTCTCCCCCTTGTCTACAATTTGTCAAATTTCCAGAGACCCTCCTATAAAATTACGTCAATTTATAATTACCCCCCCCCCTCCCTATACAAAAAAGCTACGCTACAAAATTTCCGTTATTTAAGCAATGAAACTCGAAAAAAAAAATGTTGACATCAACTTTGATTGACCTCCCCCTTCCCCCTTGTCAACAACTGTCAAAAAAGTTCAGACCCCCCTCCTCTATTTTGTTGACGTAATTTATGGACAACCTCTTGCCATATTTGATAGTGTTGAAAAAGGAAGTGTGCATGTTAAAATTTCAGTATTTCGAGAGTAATATTTGTGTGTCTCACTTGTTTTAATAAAAAAATTATTGAACGAAATTGGTAGTTTATTTTGAAGAAAATCAAAAACAAAGAGACAATTAAAGCCTTACAAGATCTTGAAATTTCAAAAATTTTAATTCAAAAAAATATATATTTAAAGAAAGGTAGACATTCATTGATTTTTTAATAAATATAAAAAATTATTATTTCTGAGTAATATATTATGGTTTAGCATCTAAAAATATGTGAAAATTTTCAAATCATGAAATAATATAGTTAAGGTAAAAACGTATGTATCGACATTTACTTGTTACTAAGGACGTTGCTAGGGGAGATAAGAACAAATGTTACTAAGTTCTAAATTACAAACGAGAATAACTTCTAAAATATTCCGATTTAGTTAAAACAACGTTGGGGAATTCTTTTTAGTGTAGTTAAAAAGAATTCTCCAAACTTATATTAATCTTTGTTCCAAAAATTAAGTAATTTAGAGATAATGGGTTATTTTTTTGAATTATTGTTGTTGTTTATGACACGGAATTGCCATATAGCGAAACCTGGAACGGACGGTCTAGATATCTTTTTTTTATGACTAGAATTAATAATTAAAAATAACGTTTAAGTATAGTCCGCTTTGTAAAATGGTTGCATAGACGACTCTCTGTTGTTAAGAAGATGGTAGGTAAAAGTCTTTATTTTATGTCTAAGTTTAAACTAACATATAAACGTTATTAAACTAGTATAATATATAGTTTATATATACAAATACGATAAATTTGAAAAAAAAATGTTAACATTCATGTAATAAATTCTACGCTTATCCTAAAGTCTAATTGTCATTTTCAACTTGTGGCTGTCCCTTTAAATATATTTTAAATATAAACCCAGAAATATGATTATATTCTCAGTTTTTTATGTAATTTAAAGTAAAAATCTCAGTTTGATAAGTCTTATAAAGAACAATTATATAAAAACTTATCGAAATGTTACTGAGATTTTATGTAGAATAATACACAATAATTCTATCCATGATGCTACATTAAAAAATTTCATTAAATAATAAAAACTTGAAGCACATTAAAGTTCAATTATTGAAAAAAAAAACGCAAGTGTTACAACTTTTAAAGACTGTAGTCTTTTATATTTATGATGTAAATTGCTGTATATATATATATATATATATATATATATATATATATATATATATATATATATATATATATATATATATATATATATATGTATATATATATATATATGTATATATATATATGTATATATATATATATGTATATATATATATATATATATATATATATATATATATATATATATATATATATATATATATATATATATATACATATACATTTATAGGTAATCTTACAGTTAAGCTGCATAAATAATTTTATTTTTTTGGTTGTTGCGCTCTTGTCAGTGGAGACTTTAGAAAAATAAGAAATATTTATTGAAATAATAAAAGATAATAGATTGCTGCCCCATGCCAAACCCTTAGTCGATGTAGCGACACTTCCTTGCTTCAGCAGGCTATATATCTTATAAGATAGTTCATGCGTGTACTAATACTCTTGGCACCTGGCTATTTCTGTGTGATGTCAGAGTGTGTATTTAAATATGCATTCATAGTTATATATATATATATATATATATATATATATATATATATATATATATATATATATATATATATATATATATTTATATATATATATATATATATATATATATATATATATATATATATATATATATATATATATATATATATATAAGTTTTTTTAACTTAATAAAAAATAACATTACAACCTTATCTCTTCCCCAACCTCATCTATTTACCACAGATGATTCCATGATGTCTGCGTTCCATCACTTTATATCAAGTTTGTATAAACATTACAAAAACCAATTGTGAACACAACGTTAATAAAAATGTTTTGTTTTTAATTTTAAAGAAAAATAAAATGAATTACAAAAAAAAAAAAAGAACAAAAATAAGATCAATTAAAGTCTTATTTGTCCATTCAGAAAATGTTTAGCTTTAGTAAGTCTTGAAATATTTTTAAAAAAAAGGCAACAGAGCTATGTATGCTTGTTTCAGTTTATCAGGCACTTCAATCATTAATTTAAACATATGAAATGTAACACATAAAATTAAATATTTCCATTTTTCCATATAATTAAACTTTAACTTTTAATATTTCATAACCTTTAATATTTCAATTTCTCTAAGTGAACATGACTTAAATGAACAAACAACCAAGAAGTTTGGCTTTGAAACTCTGCAAGTTTCAGAAATTTTTCTTCTATTATGTTTATATACAATATTGAATTGTTATGGTTTTTTGTGAGATCGTCAAGTGTTTCTGCAAGAAACCTTTGATTTGCAATGGCCAATGTTTCTGTCACATTTTTTAGAGGTGCAATGTCTATACATAAGTGACAGAGTTCTAATTGGTAACAAAACAGTAATGCTGTCACGTTTTTCAGTTTTATTAACTAGATAATAAAATCAAATTAAAACTTTTCATTTTGTATTTTGTCTAGCGCATAAATTGCAAACCAATTTGATACCCTTTACACTTGAGACAATTGGTAATTTAAAATCATACAGCATAGAGCATACAACATCAGACCATCTGTTTCCAACAGTTCCATCATAGCAATAAAAATATAATTTTTGAATTTAAAGTATACTAGTGTTGAAAAAATAAAATAGGTATTGCCTGGAATAGTATGTTCTTTTAAGAACATTGTTCTCAATGTTCTTAAAAGAACAGAGCAATAATAAATTAGTAGAAAACCACCAAATTTTTTTTATTTATTTAACAGTGTTTTATCAATAAAGACTCATCAGAAATCTGATGTAGAATTTTTAATGTCTCCTATGATGAAACACAGTGTTAAATGAAAAATTATATATATATATATATATATATATATATATATATATATATATATATATATATATATATATATATATATATATATATATATATATATATATATATATATATATATATATATATATATATATATATATATATATGTATATATATATATATATATATATATATATATTAGGGTGGGTCATAAAAATTTTTTTTCTTGTTACAGGCTCTAAAAATTGCTAATAGTTGTTAATATTGATACTATCAAATATGAGAATGATTTAGATAGATTTAAAGGGCGCAACTTTATTGGGAAAATTACCAGTACCCTAATATTTTGGAGAAAAAAAGTTTTTCAAAAGTAGTTCAACCTGGTACTCAAAAGAAGCAAAATTTTATAAAAAATTTGAAAATAATTTCAAATTTTTTTTATAAAAAATTTGAAAATAATTTCAAAAAATCATATCGACAATATGATTTTTATAAAAATCGTTTTATAAAAATCATATTGTCGAAAAATTGTTATTAAAAAACATGTAAAAATGCACCTTTTTCACTTTTAGTTAAAAAACCATAGTTATTATGCAATAAAATCTAAAATAATAATTTTTATATGAAAAAATTATTATTTTTGAAATTTTTATAAAATTTCACTTAATTTGAGTGCCTACATCACATAATTTTGAAAAACTTTTTTTTTGAATAATAATAGGGCCTTCTAATTTTTGTAATTATAGTTGCGGGTGGAAGACATTGTCTAATCCATAAAAGTAAATACTTTCCTAAATTAGTACATAAAAAAACAACTTTCTAGACCATAGCCAGGTTAGCAACCCTAAAAAAAATTTTATGACCCACCCTGATAAAGGGTATTTTTTAGAGGTATAGAACTTTAAGTTGGCATTACTGCTCAAGATGGCGACCGATTTAACAGGTGACAAGTGATTTATTCTCAGTTTGGTTTGGCAATTCATCATGAATAGACTCACGCCTTAACAACGCTTGCAAATAGTTCAATTTTATTTTGAAAATAATGGTTCTGTGAGGAATATGTATCGCGCACTACGTCCATTTTATCCTCGACAAAATCGTCCATCAGAGCAGTTAATTTGATTAACCATGGAACGTTTTTGCACCACATTTACTCTTATTGATAACTCGCATCCCCAGAGACGCCGTACGGTGCGTACAGAAGAAGCTATTGTTACTGTAGAGCGTAGCATTGCGGAAGACCCGAATGAGTCCATCCGCTATCGAGCACAGGAATTGGATCTGTGTCCATCCACTGTATGGAAGATTTTGCGGAAGGATCTTGGTATGCGTGCTTACAAAATCCAACTCGTGCAAGAATTGAAGCCAAACGATCATCAAGCAAGGCGTAGATTCGTCGAATGGGCTCGAAACGAGATTGCCATTGTTCCCAATTTTCATAAGCGAATTTTCTTTAGCAATGAAGTGCACTTCTGGTTAAATGGTTATGTCAACAAACAAAACTGCCGCATTTGGAGTGAAGATAATCCTCAAGTGTATGTCAAAACACTGTTACATCCAGAAAAACTGACTGTTTGGTGCGCTTTATGGGCTGGTGGAATCATTGGTCCGTACTTCTTCAAAAATGATGATGGCCAGAACGTTACAGTCAATGGTGATAGGTATAGAGCCATGATTACAAACTTTTTCATTCCTGAATTGAACAACCATGATGTCCAGGAGCTGTGGTTTCAACTAGACGGCGCATGTCACACAACTCATGCCACAATCGATTTATTGAAAGACACGTTTGGTGACCGCCTAATTTCACGTTTTGGACCTGTGAATTGGCCTCCAGATCTTGTGAGGCTATGTAAAGTCATTGGTCTATGCGGATAAGCCACAAACGCTTGACCATTTGAAAGACAACATTCGCTGTGTTATTGCCGATATACAGCCACAAATGTTGGAAAAAGTCATCGTAAATTGGATGTCCAGATTGGACTACATCCGAGCCAGCCGTGGCGGTCATATGCCAGAAATTATATTTAAAATGTAATGCCACAAGATTATCTTTCTAATAAAAAAAAATTCTTGTCAATCGAATAATCCATTGTTGTTTTATTGCAATTTAAAGTTTAAAGTTCTATACCTCTAAAAAAAACACCCTATATATATATATATATATATATATATATATATATATATATATATATATATATATATATATATATATATATATATATATATATATATATATTCAGAGAAAGAAAAAAAATAATCATTTATCACAGCAAAAAAAAATAAAAAATAGCTGTGAAAAAAGTTTCTGTAAGCCTAACCCTAAATCTCAGTTAATTTATGTACTAAATTCCCCTCAGGTAGCTATTTTGATGTCATCGATGATGTTTTATATGAGAGAGAAGTACATAAAGTTATTTGCGTGTGTGCGTCTAAGTCTATAATTGCTCTTTTATAACTGTATTACTCAATATTACTGTATAACTGTATCGAACAATTATATCTCACAATCAAAATAAAATTCCAACTTTATTTGTGATTAATTGGCTTTTTAAGAGTGAATTTGTATTTTAAAAAAGACAAGAGAATCTTTTCTAGATTATGCAGACAAATAAATTCCATATATTTATTTTAATTTCATTGTTTAACTTTTTGTGCGTTTAGGATGTTGTTCTTATTTCAACTACTTCTTACAGAAGTTCAAGAATTTTTATGGTGGCAGTTGAACAAGTGTTTAGGTATCAGTTTTCATATATAAAAAAACTTTAGTTTTATTTAGTAACTGGTATATTTTGAGAGTACGATTTAAAATAAATAAATAAGGAACTTTATGGGTTGGCAGCTTAGTTAAAGTTCAGTTGAAAAAAACTAGATTATACAAATTTATTTGCATGGAATATATATATATATATATATATATATATATATATATATATATATATATATATATATATATATATATATATATATATATATATATATATATATATATATATATATATATATATATATAAATATATATATATATATATATATATATATATATATATATATATATATATATATATATATATATATATATATATATATATATATTAGGGTGGATCGATTTTAAAAATATTTGATTTGCCTGAGCTGCGAATCGATGTCTTTAGGTGAAAAAAGAACCTTACTTTTTTTTTTTTAAATGAGTTTTAAAGGTTCCTCTTTGGGTTCTAAATTTATGATGGATCCTAATATTGTTGAAATTTTTTTTCTTCTAAACTATATTAACCTCGTACTCAAAAGGAAACGAATAATAATAATTTATTATTTATTATTCGAAATTATTATTATTATTATATTATTAATAATATTTTTTTAATGATTTATATACAATTTTTTAATCAATAATAAAGATCTTTAATACTTCTTCATCGTCAGACTTTGAAGGGGGTCTTCATCAAAACAGGGTTTTTAAGGTATATTTATGCAAATATTTTTTTTTACTAAAAAATTTTTTTAATAAAATTATTATTGATAAAACAAGCATTTTTTTTCTGCTTCTTTTGAGTCCAAGGTTGATATAGTTTAGAAAAAAAAAAATTCAAAAATATTAGGATCCGTCAAGGATTTAGAATCCAAAGAGGAACCTCAAGATCTCATCAATTTCAAAAAATATTTTTTTACTTTCATCTTATAATTAATAGACATCGATTCATGTCTCTCTATATATATACATACATATATACATACATATATACATATATGTATATATATATATATAAATATATATATATATATATATATATATATATATATATATATATATATATATATATATATATATATATATATATATATATATATATATATATATATATATATATATATATATATACATATACATATAAAATGTGTTTTTGTTTACACTCACATTCTATTAGTATACACCAAGGTAGCTATTTGAGTGTATTTATCAGGGATGTGGAGTCCTAAAAAGACCTCTATTTTTTCCTGGTCTCTGATGTCTAGAAGCTCTAAACATGTTGGTTGACTTATGATCTTTTATAAAAAAAAAATTCATGAGATTTACCAACTTGGAATTTATTGTTTTTAAGCCCGAAGTTCCAGAGTCCTTGCTGCTATTATACCTATGTTCTCCAGGTATAAAAATTAATTGTTCCTCTAACCTAAAAGTCTTAATTTTTTTCCATAAGCTTTTTTATATTTTTAGAGCTCCTGGATACCAAAAACTAGGAAAAAGTATTTTTTTTTTTTGTGAATTTCAAATCTAGAGTCCCTTTTTGGAATCAGCATCCCTGCTAGTTTTTTTAGTTAGGGTGTGTTTTGCAAATGTTTAAAATTTGCCCTTGATTTAAATACAGTCTTGTATTTAACCTTCTTCTTCACTCTTGTATTTAACCTTCTTTCCCCTAATTTTTTGAAGATATGATGACAATGTTGAGATCTATGATATAGTTAACATGGTTGCTTAATTGTTAGATTTTTCTATGATTTGAGTTTGTTGAGTTTAGTTTTTTTTTTACATTGTTTGCAAGGTTTTGTAATTTTTCCTTTTCATATTCCTTCTCAGTAAATATATCTATTATCAAATTGATTTCTTTATGCACAAATTTTTTTAACACAAATAGATAAACCTTTATAAATAGGGTTTTGAAAAATCTAAACAACACACTGTTATTTTACCAATTTAAAAGGAAAAAAAATATGTTTTTAACTTATCTCAAAGTTTTTTGAAAAAAAAAGCATACGCGAGTTTTTAAAGTTGCAGAACAGATTTGTAGACAATAATTTGACAACTTTAGTAATTGTGGAATTAGCATGTCAGAAACTTCATTCTAAATTATTTTGTTATAAAATAAATATTGTTACAATTCTCCTTTATTATTATTGTTTTAAACCAATTACTCACTATTTCGTTTTTGTCGAGTTAAAGAAGTAAGCAAGAGATTACATTTACATAAAGTCAGAGGTGTGGAGTCCCAAAAAAGGACTTCAAATTTGAAAGTCATAAAATTATTATTTCTTTCTAGTTTTTGGTATCCAGGAGCTACAAAAAATTAAGATTTTAAGGTTAGAGAAACAATCAATTTTTGAATCTGAAGTCCTTATGTATAATGGGGGTAAGGACTCCAGGCCTAAAAACAATAGGTTTTTATTAAAGTAAATAGGTTCTCATTAATTCTCATGATTTATTTTCTTATTGCGTATTATAAGTTGCTCATTTTTAAGGACTTATGGAAACCAGAAACCAGGAAAAAATAGAGATTTAAACTCATAATTTTTTTGGGATTCTGCATCCCTGCATAAAGTTAATAATTATGGCATCATTAAATGGGATTCGACGGTCAGAAGAGAAGCAATATAAGCAGAGGTTTATAAAGCAGAGTTTAAGTAATAAAAGTTTGTTTAGTATTTCTATGGTGTCATTACAATTATTATGTGGCATAGGGGATACAAAATCTATAATTTGGAAAAACACTGCCTCATTATTATGTATTCGGTTTTGTCACCCATTAAACTAGTTTTTGAGAAGGAATCTACAGATTTAAAACTAAAGAAATCAATCAAATCAAGACAACAAATTAAAAATGCTTGCGCCCAACAAAGTATCTCCATGAAATCTTGACATGCTCCTACATATTCCAACTATGATGTGTTGTTATGATATACAAAAGTTTGCAATGTGCTGTCATCATGTTTTTCTGCACCATACTGAAACTTATATGAGGCAAAACATACTGAAATAAATAGTATAAATGCATTAAGGATCGCCCATAGATTACTCAACCCTAAATTTATTTATAAAATGTATGAGATCTTTTACTCAGCAATTTTCATTAAACTTGCACTGTTTTGATTTTTTATTTAAATTAAGGCTCTCCGAGGGAAAACTGTTCAGGGTGGCCAGCCAACTGGAAATCAAGGAAAAATCAGGGAAGAGTCAGGAATTTTAAATTTTTTCTTCCAAGTCTTAGGGAAAAAAATCTCTTTTTCAAAATTTAATTTTTTTTAAAGAGTTTTTTTTACTTACTCCCAAACAACAAAACATAAAAACTCAAACTTTAAAATATAACTGAGTCAGAGAATTTAATTAAAAAAGTGGCTGGCCACACTGCCGTTGATCTTTTTTGTTTTGTTTATTATGGAAATTTAGCATTGTGTAATTTATGGACTTTCCCTTGTTTAATTTATTAGAAAGTAAACACTTTCTAATAAATTAAACTTTTATAATAAATTTTAAATGCTCATGATTTCCGAACAAGAGATTATTGAATAAACAACTTTCATTTATTCAATAATCGCTTGTTCGGAAATCATGAGCATTTAAAAGTTAACCACTTCTATATATAAAAAAATTTTATTAGTCATAATTTGATAGAAAAAAAAAGAACATAATTAGATAAAATTAAAATAAGTTTCAGATTGTAAAATAAATTGTTAGATCTTATGAGAAAAATAGTTTAGATTGTAAAATGTATAACTAAAGATAGTAAAAAACAAATAGTTTAAATATGTACAAAAGACTTATTTTATTTATTTTATTTTTTAACTAATATTTATACATGATAAATTACTTCAGAATTATAACAATTCTGTTGTCAATGTAAGTCCTGTTATAAAATAAAATAAAACTTACAATCAATTGAAATAATAAGGTTATTTAAAATGTTATAAAAAATATTTAAAATTTTTAACTTAATTTTAAATTCAGTCAACGAGTTGGTTTTCCTAAGTTCTAATAGTAGATCATTAAAAACTCTTACACCAGAGTAATAGAAAGAACTTTTAGCAAATTCAAGTCGGATTTTTGGAATTTTCATTAGGGTGCTGTTTTTTCTTGTTGCTTTTGAATAGAATGATATACCTAACTTTTACTTTTTCCGGAAAAAAAAATTGAGAAAAACTTGAAAAGCCATCAGCTAATTTAAAAAGACTTATTGGTTAGCTAATTTAAAAAAACTAATACGAGAAAATATATTCCGGTTTTTTTCTTACCAAATATTTTCGGGGTTTTTAAAATATGACCAAGATTATACCGGGTGAATAAAAATGAGCAATTGCTTTTACTAAGTAATTGATCAGCTTTACGTGAATAAAAATTTAAATAGTTTTGATCAAACTTTTATTCACGTAAAGTTAAGCAATTTAGTCAGTAATTGCTCAGCTTTACGTGAATTTTATAATTATATTTCATTAAGTTTTTATTCAGTAAAGCTGACCAATTACTGAGTAAAAGCAATTGCTTATTTTTATTCTCCCGGCCTTATATCGCTGAGCCAATTTCTTTTCAAACCATTTTCTAGTGGATGATTTTAGTTAAATTATCGAATTTTTTTTAACAATAACTTTTTAAGCAGGAAAAGATTCAAAAACCAGAAGATTCTATAATCTTTAATAAATTTTTCAAAGAAAAATGTAATCGTATGCAAAAATGTTAGGAATCTTGTTTAAAATTTTAAATCATTTACTATTTAGTATGTGATTACGATTGTCTCATTGAATGCGTATTTTTAATCGTATATCGACGGTTATCTAGCCTTTTGAAATTATTTTTTGAAATTTTGCTTCTGTCATTATTGTGCTTCTGTTTGTTTTTAAATGTATTAAGATAAAGCAAAACAAACAAAAACATGAGGTTTAAATAAGGTAAATTCAACAAAAATGGCTTGGCCTCTGCTTAAATATTAAAAATGGTTTATATTTAAAAATCAGTAAATACTTTTTTGTTTGTTTGTCGTATGTAAATATACCTTTTTAGAAAATATACATTTTTAGAAAATATTAATAATCAAATTTTTGTTACGCTTCTAGGTTAACCCACGAACCAATAATAAACTTACAAAATCAAAATGAATGTTGAAAACAAACCATTACCTACATTGTCTCGTTTTTTTATTGGGGGTGCAGCAGGCATGTGTGCATCATCAATCGTTCATCCATTAGATTTAATAAAAACTCGTATGCAAATGAGTGGCATTGGCGAACGAAGGGAGCATAGAAGTATTGTGCATACTTTTATGAGCGTGATGCGAAGAGAAGGACCTTTAGCTTTTTATAATGGAATATCCGCAACGCTATTCCGCAATGCTTCGTACACATCAGTTAGGTTAGGTGTTTTTACTAACCTAAAGGAATATTACAAGGAATCAAATGGCGAGTTACATCTTTTTAAAAACGTAATTATTGCAATACTTGCTGGCGCAAGTGGTGCTTTTGTTGGAACGCCTGCGGAAGTAGCTCTAATTCGAATGACCAGCGACGGAGCGCTTCCTCAAAACCAACGGAGGCAATACAAAAACGTGTTTATCGCATTGCAACGCATTACTCGCGAAGAAGGCATAGCGACACTTTGGAGAGGATGCCAACCAACAATCGTTCGAGCTGTTATTGTAAATTCAGTTCAGCTTACAACTTATACACAAACAAAGCAATTATTTCTAAGCAAAGAATATTTTAACGATAATATTAAGTGTCATGTAGCCTCAAGTGCAATTAGTGGTTTTCTCTCTACTGTTGCTTCTTTACCTGCTGACATAATTAAAACGAGAATGCAAACTAGTTCAACGAAAAAAAGTTATTTAAATATATTATCCCATATTGTTAAAAAAGAAGGGTTTTTCGCGCTATGGAAAGGTTTTACTCCATGTTATTTACGAATGGGTCCGCAATCAATTTTAGTTTTTGTATTTTTGGAACAATTCCAATATTTAGCACAAATGTTAGTAACAAGTTATTAATATTTTAAAAAAAATCTTTTGCACTCAAAGATTGTTTTTGACAAAACATGATTACGGTATATTTTCATATTTACAATTCTCTAGAATCTTATTGTAAAATATTATCTTCGCTATTCCCTGACATTTTCTTGAAGCATTTCAATTTAATTTTGGGTAAATCCTTTAGTTCGCCGCTCCAATCTCTAAACAAATAAAAATATATTAATAAATTAAATAGGTATTTAATATGTGACAAGGATTATACTCCGTTTTTAGACTGAGTACGAGGGAGTCATCCATAAAAGACGTCACACTAAGTTTAACTAATGGCTTTAAAGAAGTTTAAAGAAACATGAGAATGTTGCCTCTAGTACGCAGAGATTTCTAGAGTATTATAGCGCCTTATGTTCAATAAAAATCTCCGCGGAAGGAGCCAATAAACTTCTACTTCTGGTTACTATTTAAATTCTGAATGACATTCTTTATGGACGACCCCTAGGGTACGGTGAATTTTAATTTTTTTCAGAATTTATTTAGCTTGGGTGGGCAAAAGTTGCCCATTCATTTCATAAATACTTTGGGAAAATATCAAAGTTCAAGGAAATTATCTAGAGGTGCACCTTTGAAAATTAAATTAGTTCCTAATATTATTAAAAAAAAGTTTCAAAAGTATTTTATGTTAGATCTCAAATAAAGAGAAATTATGTAAAAAAATTTAAAACAATAATCATTTCATAGAAAAATTTTTAAAAAAATTTGAAAAAAACTTACAAAAGTGCACATTTTTCATTTCTAGTAAAAATATTCCATTTTTTATGCGGTTAAATTAAAAGTTTTTTTTTTGTGAAATGATAATTATTTTTATATAGCTTCGCTTCACTTGAGACCCAAAATTAAATTTTGGGTCTTAAATGAAGAAAAAATTTTTTTTAGTAGTATTAGGGACCCATTATATTTTCATAGGTCTTGGGGCACCTCAAGATAATTTCCTAAAACATTGATATATTTTTTCAGAGTATTTAAGAAATGGGCAATTTTTGCACACCCAGGCTAGATTAGTTCTAAAAAAAAAAAAAAATTCACTGTACCCTACTAAATACATTACAGCCCCTGACACTAGCTATAATAGCGTTTTGACTGTACACTATCTAACAAGTTTACAGTCGAAATAACGTTATATAATTATATAGGGGACGTGGGGACATAACCGCATATGGAGGCACAACCGTTTTTTAACATTTGAAAAATGTTATCTAATTTGAAAAAAAAAAACCAAGCGTTGGTAAAACATTTTCCTTTATTTCTTTTATGTCAAAAAGAATGCCTGACACGTTTCTGAGAAGTTGTTCATAATGTTTAGTTTGATAAAAATATTATATTTACATCATAGTTTTCCACACCTTTCTTTTGAAGATTAAGCAATATTTGATTTTAGTGTTAAAGATATGTTATCAGCGTTATTTTATCAAGTGAAAACTTGATAAAATATTAGATATTAACATAATCTAATAAGCAAGCTATGAAAATGTATTCTTTCTAAAAACTCTTCTCTGGGGCAGAACCGCATAAACGCACAGGAAGCTTTTGATATTTATGAAAGTTAGGTAAATTACGAATAACAATATATACAATTGTTAAACTTGAATGCGTTTGTATAAAAACTTGAATAGAAATAGTTTTGTTTTGAAATGTTGGAAATAAGATCTTGTTTTTTTTAAAGTAAAAATGATTATTACATTATATATTGTAGGTATATAAATTGTGAGGGTGCGGTTGTACCTCACAATGGGGGCAAAACCGTTTTTTTCACTATGTGTACTTTTTGTGCTATAACATTTTCAAAAACAGTTTTATTTTTTGGCTATTTATTGAAGCATTTCCTATTATTTGAAGCAATTTAAAGCTTAATTATGTGGTTATTAAAATAAACTGTTAAAAAGATACATTTCAATTTTATTTTCATGTAACATCAATCCAAACGTTACGGGGGCGGTTATGCTTCGCCTACTTCTATTCGTCTGTAGAATTTAACAAAAATTAAATATCCAATCTATCTGTACAATTTAACAAAAATTAAATATCGCCCCACTTCCATTACTTCTAATCGTCTGTACAATTTAACAAAAATTAAATATCCAAAGTACAAAATTAATAAAACTATAAATCTACTCCCGGGTGCTTAATACACGGGGTATTAGCCTAGATCTAATAAACGAGGAGGAGGCAGGGTTAGTCGGGGTTGGTGGGAATATTTTACAGAAATCAAATAAAGCGATTCAATAAGATTTAATACGTTACGAAAGTTTTATGCTATGGTGAGAAATTAATGAAAACCTAAATTTTGACAAATCGAAATTTACGAGACTTTTTATTGGTCGACGATTTTTGACGATTTTTGACGATTGATGTCGAATTACACTAACAGTTTCTGTTTATATCAGTTTCTAATATATATTTTCTAACTTTTGTTTTTTTGTTGATAAAAAGCAAAAATTAATAAGCATGGGGAGGGTGGGAAAAATTTCCGAAAATTCATAAACGTCCTTTCCGCGTATTAGACACCTAAGAGAATTAATACTAAATAAAAAGCACCATATAAACTTTAACTTGAGGTGGGTGAACATTGTTCACACAGCTCGTTTTTCTAAGTGTAGCATTTTTATTGTTTTGATAAAAATAAACTATTAATTCAGTGAAGTATTTTTTAAATCTCATTAATATTGTAATTGTAAATAAAGATATTGAACAATTTTTATATTCATACAAATTTAGTTAAATTTGTCCTTTTTTAAATAAAGAATCCGAATGTTGAAAAAACTTTTTTTTGTAAAAAATGGAGAGAGCTTTTTACCAAAAACAAACGCTAAGTTTCGTCATAATATATAAAATCATAATATATTTTTAGAAAAAATGGACTAAGCTCTCTTTTTAAAAAACGCTATTTGTTTATATATTATGATGAAACTTAGCGTTTGTTTTTGGAAAAAAGTCTAAGGAAAACGAGCACAACATCAAAAAAAATATATTTCTAAAGAAACCCCATCGATGAAAATATGAAACGGTTAATGAAGTGGATAGCTTCTAATTGTGCGCAAAATATTACCATTTTATTATATTCAATAATTAATAAGCTTTTTACCTTAGGACTTTTACAACGACCCTATTCGTAATATCAGGAGCTTCTAAATAATAATAGAAAATAAATAAAAATTAATGAAATTATTTGCACTTATTAAAATTAGTCAATATTAAAAAGTAAGTGTTAAAATCTTGTTTTTTAAAAATAAAGTCGCATTGATTGTATTAATATAATTTCCATTAAGAGTTTAGATCAACTTTAATTAGTACATTTTTTTGTTTTTGAAAATGGCTAATTGTATAAGAAAATTAGTCTATAAATAAATTAAACTACGACACTATGAATTGGTTTTCTCTAAAAATGCAAAATAGATGTAGTTAGTTTTAATTTGAGCATTCTTAAGTATTTCAAATAGAAACTTAGTTTTAATTAAGAAATGTCTTAAATTCGATTTTGTCTTCAATATTTAGAATATAGTGCATGAAGAAACATAATAAAATAAAAAAGATTTTTAATAGTTATTATATTTTGCCTTTTTTTTTCAATAACGTTGCACCTATTTTATTTCATAGCTATAATTAAAGCCAATCTATGATTATGAACATCATTAATGGACATAATTAATGAACATCATTAAGGGAAAAAAAAAACAATAATGAACGTCTTTACGTAATGAAAACTTAATAGGTTGTAACTTGCATAATAAAAACTGGTTATAGTTGTCAACTAAAATTACCGAAACATCCATCATTAATCAAATTAGTTTCTTTTTCCCGAACTAATTTTAAAGCGCTGTATTCAGCTGAATGAGCTTGTCCATGTCGACCAAGTTCTTCATTAAGTTTATTTAATTTTTCGATTTCATCTATTCTCTTTTCAAATCTATTAATATACCTAATAGTAAACATTGAGCATATTAGACATAAATACTAAATTTATATATATATATATATATATATATATATATATATATATATATATATATATATATATATATATATATATATATATATATAAATAGCTTTAAAAAAAATTATGGGATTTTGAAAAACAGAGAATAGCATAGGAATTTAATAGAACATTGACAATTTAAAAACTGAAAATTACTCTTTTAAGGGATCGTCTATAAATTACAAAACGCAAAATATATTCAAAAAACAGAAATAGGAGATATTAAGCACTTTAACGCGTCGATTTTCATTAAACTTAATTGGCAAATTTAATTTTTTTGTTTAAATTAAGATTCTACGAGGGAAAACTTTTGATCTTTTTTGCTTTGTTTATTGTGATAGTTTGCGTTACGTAATTTATGGACGATCCCTAATATTTTTACAGTTTAGCTTTTATTCAAGTACTCACTTTAAAATCAATTCTGAAACTTCAATCAGTGAATATTTATCTTTGACCGGCTCAATTTCACATTTAAACCAGAACAGTTTTTCACCTAAAATAAATTTAAAATAGACTACAATATAAACATTGAAAACTATGAAGAAATGGTTAAGTATAGAAAATAGTTGGTAGATTCTCGTAATCGCCTTCATTTTAACGGCAGCACGAGAACCAACACAGTTTTTAATTTTGCTGAGATGTTTATTTCATTATTCTACATTATATTCGCTTCATCATATAACACATTTCATCATATAACACATTTCATCATATAACACATTTCATCATATAACACATTTCATCATATAACACATTTCATCATATAACACATTTCATTATTCTACATTATATTCGCTTCATCATAACACATTTCATCATATAACACATTTCATCATATAACACATTTCATCATATAACACATTTCATCATATAACACATTTCATCATATAACACATTTTAATCATCTTAATATTGACTATGATCTTGTGTTTTTACAACGCTTTTTGTGATGTCAACAATCTATAGTAAACTAGTTCACACTACTAATTTTTAAATTTCTCTTTATTTTAATCCTTTTGTAATTACTATTCGATTCAAATTATTTCTTTTAACGGTTCATTAAAACACATTAAATAGTTCACCTAAACACATTCCTTTTACCTTGGCCTAATATCGTTTCAGAATCGGTTTGTCTAACGCTTCAGTTGACTAAAGTTTGGATACCGATTTCGAAATTAGGTTCACACCCAGTGAAGTTAGGTTCACCACCCAGTGGGAACAACGTTAAATAACATCGTTATTTATGTTGTATTAACATTGGATTGACGTTGGAAATAGAGGATAGATAGCGTTAGATTTTCCGACTATATAACGTTAGATCATCCAACGTTAACCAACGTTGTGAATTCAATGTAAAAGCGACGAGTTTTTATAGAGATAGACGACGTGCGATCAGGGTTGAGCCCTTACATCGGCCAGGACTCGAACCCCGATCAAACGCCGTCTATCACAACGCGCTTTCCATTGCGCTACACTATCATAAAATATAGAAAATATTTACTAATATATACTAATATATTATAAAAAAAAAATTGTAATTCCGATTTTAAAAAATAACATTAATTTAACGAAAGTTATTTCAACGTAATTCTGATAAAAAAAATAACCAACGTTATTATAACGTTGGATCGACGTCTTTTGCCCACTGGGCAATAACTCTGGAAAATTTTTTATAAAGTCTTTAAAAAAATCTTTCGAAATTTTTTGAATTGTGTCTAATTTAAATTCAGCGTTTTCTGAAAGAGTATAGTTTACTTATCACTATATATATAATTCACCAAATCAAAAAACTCCTATTGAGTATTTATGACAGCTTTTGTATTATTTTGCCCCTTTTTTGTAGTTGCACTTTTTTTGGAATTGTTTTGCGCCTTTTTTTGTCCGCCGTAATTTTCTTTCAAAAGTTTACTTTCAAGTTCAGTTAAAAATTACAGAAAATTTTTAACTGAACAGAAAAGGTACTTTGTTTTTTTACATTGGTAATGAAAATTAAGATTGAAAGTGAAAATTTATATCATTACATTCCTATAAATTATTAAAACGAAATTTTAAAAATAAAATTGCAAATCATTTGTAACTTAAATCACTGAATGCAGGATCGTTTTATAAATTGTAAGGAACATAGGCGATACGTTGTAACAGACTCTCTCCCAGGATTAGTAAAATCATGCGACCCTAGACCGTGGTCTCGTTAGCCTAAGCAAAAAAACAGCCCTGACTAAATGTTTAAAAATTTGGTCAATTATCAAGAGAAACAAGATGTTTTTTATTATAAGAACTAAGGTTTCTTATACTAAAACGGGATTAAACTTTTAATTTATTATTCTGATTAAATTTTGTATAGATTTCTTGGCACCTTTTAAAGGTTTTTTTTTGGCCAATTGAATCTTCAACCTTTTTAGTGAAAATAAAATGTAGTAATCTGTAATTATCTATTGGATCTGGGTACACTGCAAAAACAAAAAAATCTCTTCCTTTCTACTTCTATATTAAGATTAAGTTCAAATAATATAGTTTTTATAAAATGTTGCAAAATTTGGATTTGTCATTGATTTGTATAGTTATCTTTGATATTTACTACTTATAGAAGAGAACTTCTTCCATTTTAAGAACAAAAATTAAATTTTATATTGGGACATGGTAATACTTTAACGCCAAAGTTTCCTATCCTGATCAATTTTGCATCATACAAAAAATTTGAATTGAATTTATTTTGAGCAATTGGTAGAAAGGCTTTACTATCTCTTCAAAGTTGCATCACTGATCTGTTACAAGGTCTATTCTAATAAATCCAAACATTTTACAATGGAATTTGGATCTTATAATAAAAAACATCTGATTTCTCTTGGTAGTTAAACAAAAATTTTAAAACGTTCAGTATTTTGTTGTCTAGAATAATGAGGTTGTGGTGTAGGGTTGCTTGATTTCATGGATCCTGGGAGGGCTCTATCACAACATATAGTTAATGTCCCTTAAAATTTATAAAACGATCCTGTATTCAGTGATTTAAGTGATAAATACTCTTGAGTGCCTAATACGAAAAGGTGGGGGAGGTGGGTGGGGGGAAGAGATTGAGAATAAAAGGTGAGGGGGAGGGAATTTTAGTCCAGATCTATTAAATAGAGGATGGAGGGGGAGCGTTGGATTAAAAAAAGGGTGGGTGGGAATTTTTTATAGAACTCGAATAAAACAATTCTAATGTGGCTTGCGGTCAAATGCGCAACTTTTAGTAGCTGCTTCATCATAATTTCAATAGCATTTAATATGCTTATACAGGTTTTATACTAAGCACAATGGGGCCAAACAAAAGAAAAAATGGCCAAAAATCTAAAAATCAAGTTTTAAATTTTTGAAAATTTTAAATGCTAATTTTAAATCTTATTTGTAGCTGCATCTGAAACAGATTAGTTTGTACTTAAAAAAAGTTGGATGTTGAGTAACCATTAGACTCAAACTCAAACTGACCGAAATTTGTGTTAAAATTACTATTTTGAGTTTATTACATTTACTTTGTGACTGCTGTTTTAAGAATATTAAATTATATATCTATGTAAAGATAATGATTAAGTCTATCAATATATGCAATAAAATTAATTTAATTTAGTTAATTTCCAATAAAAATATATATATTTATAGCGCTTTTAGTTTGTTTATAACTTAAAAGCTAGAGATATAATTTTGCTGTTGATGGCCGGTGGAAGTCTAACTTGCAATAAATACTTGAAACTTAGTTCAATCAAATTTGATAAAAACTTAGTCTGTCTTGTACTGTTTGATTCATTGTTTTTTTGTTTAAAAAACTTTTTTTGTCTTTTTTTTTTGTCTTTTTTTTTAAAAAAATCTAAAAATAAAAACAGATAGCATTTCTATCAGTATATTGATAGAAATGCCATCTGCAGCAACCAAAAATTACTTTATTGGTTACAGCAATAATTATATAAACTTATATAACCAATAATTACTTAGTAAGGATTATTGGTTACTGCAGTAACACATAATCCTTACACAATTCAAAAGCATTGTTTAAAGATAAATAAAACCGTGAAATGTGTAAAAATATTTAAAAATGATTATTAAGTATAGTGAAATTGTTGCAATTATAAAACAAAATGATAAACATTATCTAGCAATTGAAAAATGCTTGTTGTGTTGTGAAGAAAAAATTAAATAAGACCTAAAGGAAGAAGAAAAACATTATAACACAGAAAATAAAAAATATAAAAAAGCGATACAAGTAACTTTGGAGAAAGCAAGGTTGTTCTTCTGCATGATTCATGAAATACCATGGAAGTTGGCTTCAAACTGAATACGAGTTTCCAATAGAGCTTAAATGTGACCCTCAGCCGTCCAGTTCTGAAAAAACAAAAAGAGGAAGACCAACTATGCCGTTTTTGGAGATGTCTGCCAGATCCAAACGCCGAGTTATTGCTAATTTTGTATCTAATAACGAACCCGAAACTGAAATGTACCTCAGAGTTGCTGCAACCGTCGCTACACAAATTGATAAAAAAGACTTATCTCATTTAATCAAACAAGTTATTCAAAGTCAAAATTTGGCTGCTGTATTGAATAAGATTAATTCTGAAGTTGTGAGAATGCCACCGGAACAAGCGTTATCGTTTCTTTTTGATACGAATTTGCCCAAAGATCAGTATAATCAAATAAGATTTGCAGCTAAAACTCAAGGTGGCGATATTTTCCCTCCTTATAAGTTGGTATCAGCTGAGAAATCTTAATGTTGTCCAAGTGAAATATTGCAAACAGAAAATTGCATTGAAGTAGAATGGAAGCAGTTATTAAAACATACTCTAGAAAGAATTAGTAAGTTGCAGCATGAACTTATTGAGAAAGAAATTCCAGAAATTAATGTTGTTCAATGCAAATTTATAGTTTCTTATGGCTTTGACGGTAAAACGCAACAAGCAAGGTTCAATCAAGATCTAAGTGAAAATTTTAGTGATAGTTCATTATTTGTGACATCTATGATTCCTTTAAGATTGCAAACAAGCTGTGGAAAAATTTAATGGACTAATCAAACTCCTCAGTCTACTAGATTTTGCCGTCCACAGAGAATCGAATTTGCAAAGGAAAGTAAACAATACGTAATTCGATTAAAGGAGAAATATGATTAAAAAAATTGCTGAACTCGAAGAGGTTGTGATTATTTTAAAGTCTGGAAAGAAACTATTGGTGAATGTAATCTGTGTTTGATGTTAATAGATGGAAAGATTCAAGCATTTATTACAAAGACATCTTCGTTTCAACAATGTACGGTGTGTGGTTGTTCTTCAAAAGATATGAATAAACTAGTAAATTTTACAAAAGGAGTATTTAATGTTAACCCAGCAGCTCTACAATATGGCTTAAGTATTCCTCACATGCATATACGCTGTTTCGAAGCAATGTTACACATTTCTTATAAATTAGTTTTGCCTGAAAATTAATGGCAAGTGCATGGAAAAGAAAATGAAGCAATAATAAAAGCAAGGAAGA